TGAGGCAAATGCCTAGAAGGGATGTGAAACTGTTCGTGAGAACTGGGCCCCCACCTCCAGCTGCCCCCTCCTCTGACTGCTGACTCAGGACAGGCTGGGAGGCATGGAGGAAATGGAAATCAAGGGGAGACCGATGCCCACTTGTCTGTGGCCTGGGTGGTCACCCCCCCACCCCGCCCCCACCGCCGCCCCGCCACCCACCCCCCGAGTGGGCCTCCGTTCCCAGGCTGTAAAGTGCTCCGACTACAGAAACTTTTCTGCTTCAATGTTCCTGAATTCCCTAGTGGCTAAGAGGAGAATTGGAACCCCAGTCCCCCATTCCACCCCCAAGCAAAACCAAGTGAACAACCTGAGTGAATCAAGATCCCTAGGAGAGGGCTCCGCCCCTTCCAAGGTGCCTCCGGGCTGAGTAAGGGGTGCACCTTAAGGTGCTCCACCAGACGGTCCGACCAGGGTGCCGCTGGGGAGGGCCCCAGACCTGTCAGCCAGACTACTGCCTCTTGCTCTGCCCGACCCAAGAATGGCCCTAGCGGGGAAGGGGCTGTGTCTGCAGGGGAAGGGCAGGGCGGGCTCCTGCCTGGCCAGATTCAGGGAGTCGGGGCTCCCGCTTGACTCCACAGTGAAGCTGCCGTGTCTGCAGAGGACTTGCCTGTCTCAGGTCGGGTCCCCGAGTGCCCTGTCCTTCCCGAGAGCTGCCTCCCTCTGCCACCCTCCGGCCAGCAGGATCTGCAGGGGCCTGGCTAGGGAGCAACTTCCTCCTCGGGGCCTGCCCGGAGGCCCAGAACCAAATTGCGACACTGACTGAGGCAATAAAAACTCAGATCCGTGCTTCATCTCAAAAGTCAGCTTTTTATTATCAAGAGCCAGGGCCCGGGGAGGGGAGGTGTTGAGCTAAAGCAGCATTGCTCTCTTTCCAGGAAACGTTGTGAGCTGCAGTGAAAGCTCGAGATGTTGCATTTTTTTTTTCAACTCAAGCATGTGTTTTTCAAAAATATCATCCTTCCCCACCCCCACCCCCCCCCGCCACTAATTTTAGAATCAGACCAAAGCCAAGCTACTGTCCTCTGTTTCTTTTGGGAAAATACTATATTTATTCGAGATGCAGACGTGTGTCTCTGCAAACCTCCGATTGCTTCAGCAAAACAAATCTGCTTTAAGACTATACAGAAACCATGATACAAAATTTATTTCATGCTAGAGTCGCTTTGCATAACATTGGGCATGCAGTTTTTACTCGGAAGGACTAGGTTGCATACAATGCCAGGTTGTGCCTCAGTAAAGGTGGGGGAGGGCCGCCCCTCCCGTGGTCCTGACCTTTTGGTGCTCTAAAGAAACACGTGGAAAATCCGCACGGCGTAGATGAGTTACTACGAACAATTTGTCATGAAAATTGGTCACACTGGATCTACATGTCGGAAAAGGTGATCGAGTCAACCTAGACTAGCCGCTGCCGGGGGCCTCGGGCGACGTCCGCTGGGTCTCGAGCTAGCCGGGCCGAGGGGAGCAGGCGGCGGTGCGCGATCCCACAGTTCTGTTTGCAGCGAAGCTCTCGGTTTCCGCGTGAGAGATGAATTATGAAGGTGAGGTCAATATGACCGATGACTGACTGACCGACTGCCCTTTCGGGAACCTCTCCTCTCGATCTCGTGTATGAAAAAGGGGAGCAATCTGTTCCCCGTCCCCACCCCGCTCCCAGCCCCTCCCCCTCCCCCAGAAATGCACAGTTTGCTACCGAGCACCCTCACAGTCCGGCTCCACTGCGTGTGAAAGTAAAGAGCTTTGAAAGAAAATAGACTTCTGCTTTTTTCTTTTCGTTGTTGTTGTTGTTGTTTAGGGTGATCATACAGTTGCAGGGGGTGGGTGGGTTTGGTTTGCTGGGTTTTCTGTTTAACTTCATGCAAGTCATGCTAAGGGACCCTTCCACCCACCCCTCCCCGAATAAAATAAAATTTAAAAAAATGAAAAGAAGAAAAAGAAATTCTCTACGGTCAGTTACCATTTGGCCGTAGAAAAAGCTACGTCCGTCCTAGCACAATGCCTGGGCCACTCGGACTCGTCCGGCAAACCTGCGTGGCGTGAATTTACTCTGTCCGAGGGTGAGGAGGGGCTGCAGGTCCACCCAGATGCTTATTAGCCACCAGTGTCCTCGGCCAAGCCGCCTGGTCAAGTCACTCTCACAGCCTCTGTCGGCATATACTTAGCAATGACAGGGCTTTCTTTGCAAAGATCTGTATGTAAAGAATACAATTAACACTTGAGCGTCTCTTCTTGGCTTTCCCATCCCGCTTGGTACTTAGTTTTAAGGAAGGAGGAGGAAAGACAGAACAGCCGCATGCAGAGGCAGGCAGATTCTTCTCCAGCTGGCGTGGCTTTCCCATGCAGTGAGCCAGCCCAGCACGCCTCCTTCTCTCCCTCCTGGGGGGACCGGGTAGAGTCCCTAACTCCGCTCCTACTCTGCACATGGCTTATGGCCCGGAATTATCCCGAGAAAAGCAAGTCCTTGGCAGCTGTCATGGCTCCACGAGAGTGGGGCCAGGTGGGTGTGGGCGGGGCACTTCACCCTTGGCGCCTCCCAAAGACTCTGGCAGCCACACTTGGCCTCTGTGGGATTGGGCAGTGGGTACCACCTGTGGACAGTGGCAGCCGCTGGGCAACTGCAGGGAGAGCGGACTTCGTCTGCCCCACACTCCCTGGGCTTTCGGAAGCACAGTAAAGAGACTCTCCTTTCTGCTCTTGGAGGCCACACAGATGGGTCCAACACTCAAGAAGAAGGAGGCAGGCAGCCCACAGATGCCGGGAATGGTGTGCCTGCTTTCCCCGCCCTCTCCCGGGCTGCCTCTGCTCCTGGCATTCTAGATCCTCCACTGGGGGAAAAGCCAGTTGCATTAGGCCTATCCATGGAAGGTGCCAAGGATGAGGCCCACCCCCCCGCCAGGCCAGCAGCCCTCCGCCATGCAGCACCATGCGGGGAGCACTATGCCGCGCTGGGGTCCAAGGGACCTCCAGGCAGGGCACGGAAGCAGGGACCAGCCTGGATCAGGTGGGCACACTAAGCACCATGACAAAAAGGACTTCCCCCGTCTCAGTGTAGGCTGCCTCTCCCTCTTGGGTTTGCCCTTTATTTTGAACCCTGCATTTTCTCCTGTGTATTCTTGTTCAACCACTTCAAATACTGGAGCAGTTGTAAATGGCTACAGGCTACACCAACTGTTGCTCTAAAAAGCCAACTGTCGCTGTGGCCCAGCCTGCTTCCCCCAGTCGGCATGCATCCCGTGTGGGCATGGGAGGTGCTCCCAGACATGCACGAGCAGCCCAGCCAGTCCGCTGTACTGAGGATGGCTTTCTCCGCCTCCTGGGCCCTGGGCCAGTGCCTGGAGCCTTGAGCTAGGGTGCTCTGGGATCCCACCCCAAGCCTCTCCCGAGCCCATGCTCAATCTAGCTCTACTAGAAGCCTTTTCCCCAGGGTGTCAGCCTAAGATAAGGGTCTGGTAGAAGGAGTCCTTGAGCAGAGACCACCACATCCTTCCTTCACCAACCACAAGGGGGCGCTGACCACACCCAGGGCCCAGCTAATGGGCGCTGGGGATGGAAGGGGCTGCACAGTCTTGTGTTAACAACCTTCTCTTGGCAAATTCTCTTCTCTGTCACTAGCAATGTTCTGACTGGCACACACCTTCCCTAGCAAGGACACTGGCCTCACCCCCTGGCCTGAAGCCACCTCTTTCTTCATGGCTCCCCTCCCAATGGGCTGTGGTTTCTCTTAAAAGGATGCTTTTAGAGCATGGATTTTGGGTGGCTAAGCCCACAGGGCCTGCCCTGTTGCCTTCCTCAACCACTGGATGGAAAGATCACTTTGCCTTTTGGGTCTGACCTGTCATCTGCCAGAGCAGCCTGGAGCAGTCGAGGCTCCTTCCACATCCCTGGGTACCCCTCTGCCTTGGGTCGCAGCCCATGGTCAGCCAGCCTGTCCCCAGCCCTTCCTACCCCTTCCGTACTAACCCTTAATACCAACCCATGGCTGCCTGGGCCTCAGGGCCACCCTGCTGGCCTGACGCTGCACTTGGGAGAGAGGGACTCAGATCTCGGTGGGGGCCAACCCCGGGGGCTCCTTCTGCTCCCTGCCCCCCATCAGTGTGCCTGCCTGCCCCTCAGCGCCCCTCACCCCCCACCCCGCCCACCCGTCTGCAGGAGCGCGAGGCGGCCAGGCTGATGCAGCGCCCCAGCCTCCTCTACATACCCTTTCTCATTCCTCCACCAGGTGGGCACGCGTACTCCCCGGTTGATAAGAGGAAGCAGGGTCCGTATCTCTCGCGGGTGCCCGAGCGCGTAAAGGGCAGGCCCTCATCGGGGGTGAGGGCCTGGTCTATGTGGGGGCAGTCTTCGTTCGCCAGCGCGGCCTTCGCCACCTCCCCATTCAGTTTGGAATCTTCAAACATAAGCAGAAGCTATTGAGACACTGAAAACTGTTTAGTGGGGGGAGGGGGGACAGGCCGGAGGTAGGGCATTGGCAAAGGGCGGCCCGTCCCTCCCGACGGAAGAGTGAGGGGCCGTGGAAGAGTGAGGGGCCGTGGCGGGAGCCTCGAGGCTGGGGGTTCCGGCTCACTGAGGCAGCCTGCGGGCTGCCCCTGGTGCTGTGAAGGAGGGGCTCCTGGGTTTGCTCAAAGTTTGCAAAAAGATGAGTCGGGGGCCCAGCAAGCGCGGTGCTGGGGGCCGGGCCCAGGGCCCGAGTCTGGGCCGATGAGACACGATGGTGCGGATGCAGACATGGGTAGAGGGCCAGACACAGAGCTTGGGGGGAGACAGACAGACACACAGAAACGCTCCAGTCTGGAGAGGCAGCCTTTTCTGACCCCTCTGCTGCTGACCAGAGCTTGGCTGCTCCCGTCCTACCGGCTCAGGATTCCCTGGCCCCATCCGGACACCGCCCCCCCCCCGCCCCGTCGAACCCCACTGATCACTCACTCCGCGCTGACCACCGCACACACCGCCTCTGACCGCACAGCCTGCCCGCCTGCCCCGCCCCCCATGGCTCTGATCTGGTCACTCGATGCTCTGCCCCCATGAGGACTCGGCCCTGTCTCACAGGCTCCTCTGTCTCCCACACAGACCCAGAGGACCACGCAGTCCGCCCCACATGCCACACAGACCAGTGCTGGTCACTCAGTCTGCTCCGGCCCCCATTCAGATCGAGCTGGCGGCCTCCGCCCCGCTCCGCACCAAGCAGGCCCGGTCAGCTCTCGCAGGCACGACAGGGATGTTTGCATGAGGCGGTGACAGCGAGCCATGGGCTGGGCGGGGCTCCCGTTCCTCCGTCTCCTTTCAGCAGCCGCCCCCGAGAAGCAGAGCGAATGGATGTGTGAGGACAGCAGCAGCGATGGGCGCAGGTGGGGAAGGCGAGTCTTGGCCTCTGTGGCAGCCTGAGAAGGAACCTGGGAGGAGGTCTGGGGGCACCTGGGGAGCGGGAGGGGTGCAGCCACAGCGGGGAGCTCGCCCTCTCCCAGGCCCAGGAGCAGCGCAGTGGGAGCCCCTGGAGCTGGCAGAGGGGCTCTGCTGGCCTTGGCCCCTGCCCGTCCCCGCTGGGGACTGAGCCCGCCCCACGCTCCGGGGCTCTCAAAGCAGACTGTCCCTGGACGGGGTGGAGCCAACTCGGGCCTCGAGGTGGGCACCTCGGCTTTCTCAGACTTCACCTAGGGTGCAAGCCTCCAGGGAAGGTGGCACCAACACGAGTGGGACCACGGGAGGGGGGTCTCTGAAAGACTAAAGGGGACAAAAAGCTGGAGACAGTCTCCTCCCGACTTGACCCTCTTCCGTGACCCTGTTCCCATCATGGAACTACACGCAGGGGTGACCCTTCTCCGCGGGCACATGCTCGGTGTGCCCGCGCGCAGGGCCACAGCCACGTGCACATCGTGTCACTACAAAGAGGCAGTCAGTCGAAAGAGAAATGGACCAATCAGGTTTATTCGTAAAGCAAATCCAAAAAAAATCCCATCATAATTTTGGAACTTAAAAAAAAGTCTGTCATACAAGATGGCAAAGCATTTCACGTACAGTGCGTTTCTCGACAGAACCCAGGGGCTTCACTCCTGGATGTACTCTGAGCCAGAAAGGCCAGTTACCAAGGTAACTCTGACACCACACAACTGGAGCTGGGGCCTCCCTGGGGGCGGGGGGCTGCCTAGCACTGGGGGTGGGTCTGCGGGCACACACACCTGGGCGCACAGACACGCCCAGTCCTGCCTCCCGCTCTGGGCTGAGGGAGGAGGCTGGTTGGGGAGAGGGGAGGGAGGTATGAAAGGAGAATGTGGATGCACGTGTGGAAGTCGGGCCCATAGCACCCTGTACAAATTTTCCTCAAGGGGAAAACAGTAAGCCCCAGCAGGCAGCGTCTCCATCTGGGAGGGGAGCCAGGACCTGCTGTCTCTCTGGTGGCCGTCATCTGTCAGTAGAGGTAGCTAGAGCCTACAGTTCTTGCCCAGGGCTGGGTCAGAGGTGTGTGGTGGAGCTTGAGACCTCTCCTGGAGCTCTGAGTGCTGAGTCCCCACCAATGAATGACTCTGCCCCACCCCTGTGCCATGCCCCTGGGGCATCCAGCTCCCACGGCCTTTAAAGGGTCCAGCGTTGGGGCTGGTGTTCCCTGCAGGGGAGGGGAGCAGAGGGCATCCATCAGGGATCCCTGGGTAGATGTGAGCTTTGTACCTTTGCTTCCTAAAGAGACCCCCACCCCCACACGCCTGGGCCTGCTTCTTCCATCAACCATGACTTCGAGGAGAGGGCTATAATTGGGTAAAAGTGTTTAGGTCTTGCTCTGTGAAGAAGCCAGCCTCCCTGGGTCGTTGGTTTATCTGTGGTTTGGGGTGCTGTCAGAAACTGGGAGCATTCTCCCTCCCCAGCTCCAGAGAGGTGGCTGGAAGAGAGAGAGACAAAGGAGGAGCCGACTCTCTGAACCTGGGGAATGCATGGAAAAGGCCAGAGGGCCGGCTCACCCAAGCCCCCCCGTGCTTCTGCCTTACCCCATCCTGTGGATGAGACGGCCCCCAGCAGCCTCGGTTCCCACCTGCCCCCAGACCGAGGGAGCCCTGCCTCCCCGGCCCAGGGCCCCTCCGCCCCACTAGGCCCGAGGACTGGCGATGATGAAATGGCAGCATGGGCAGCGGCTCACAGAGATGGTTTCCAGGCTTTGAAATGGGCTGAGAGAGATGAGCGTCCGCAAGAGGGTCATTTTTTTTAAAACTTTGGAGCAAGGCGAACCCGGCGTCAGGGCCCTCAGCCAGCAGGGGTGGCTTTTCCGCCCTGGTCTCCAGGCACGGTCGATGTACTTACTGTTCAGACCAGCGGCGGCCACCAGGGGCGCACACGGGGCTGGGGCAGGGTGGGGGGTTGCTGGGCATTTCCTTGGGTTTAGCTCCAAGGGGTCTGCCCAGCCGGGGGCTCGGGGGAAAAGTCCCAGGCTAGCTGGGGACAGTCTGGGAGAGACACGAGCAGAGTACAGTCACGAGAACCGGCACGAGTCATGCAACAAAACGAGGAGAGAAAGAGAGAGAAACATGATTAGTGAAGAGAGAGAAAAAGAGAGAATATGAACAACACAGAAAAGAACACCAGGCCTGGCCCTCAGAGCTGCACCGTTTTTCCGATGCCTCCCCCTTAGACTTCTTGGGGCACCCGACTCCATACGGACCCCAGCTGCCCACCCTGGCCCTGTGTCCAGCAGAGACTTGGTCAGCTCATGCGGAGGGGCCCTGCCCACACCTGCCCGGTCACTTCTACCTCTACTGTGTCACTCCCTACCTCGGGCTAGCACCGCTCCCGCACTCTCTCTGCAGCTGGGCAGGGGACAGGCAGGGGCCTGGGAGAGGAGCACTTTGGATGAGTTTGCTCGGGGCAGAACCTCCCACCCCCACCCCAAAACTGCCCAGGAAGCTGCCGTGGTAGCTCCCAGAGTTCCGGGCAGGGTCTTCTCTGGGGCCTCACTGCTGCTCTGTGTGCCTGTGGGCAGAAGAGGGGGCTTGGCTACCACCCCTCGCCCAGGCCAGCCCCCTGCCTGCTTATGGTGGGATCCCACAGCCCCACACGTGGCATCACAGAGGAACAACCCACAGCACAGGAGCAGAGATGGACGAGACACACGCGAATGGACATGGCAGGACAGAGGGTGACTCAGAGCTGTCCAGAACAGGTGGTCTGGCCCCGCCCCCACCGCCCCTGACTGCAGATGGGACAGGAGCAACTTCTCCTGGGCCATCAGCCCCAGGCAGCCCTCCCCCTGTGAGGTCCTACACCCCCCAGGGCAGATCCCCCCACATGGAGGCCAGGCCAGCCACGGCACAGCAGAACAGACCAGACCGTCCTCACAGAAAACACAGACCTGAGGCTGCAGGAGAGAGTGGAGGTACTGGGGGGCGGGGGGGGGGCGGCGGGGGAGAGGAGGGAGCTGCCGGCCTGACTGGGGGGCCTTGCTGGAGCAGGGGCAGTGCCCTCACGGCCCAGCATGCTGTGCTTGGCCCCAGTCCAGGTTCTAAGAGGAAATGGAGAGCCCCAGCTTTCTTCACTGAGGCCACCTGACGGCCCTGTGGGCAGCGTGAGGTTGGAAGGGGTGCTGAACCTCATTCCCCTCAATCCCTGCAGGGCCAGGTCTCCACCCACATCCGCCTTCCTTGCCTCTGGCCTCCCCCGCTCACTCACGAATGCTCCCCAGCCCCACGCCCATCTAGGTGCACAGCTACAAGCAGAGAGGGGGTGGATGGAAAGGGACTCGGGGACACAGAGATGGGGGATCCCATGCCCCTCAGTGACAGTTAATCCTGGTCTCACGCACCAGCATTTGGTAGAAGGAGTGTTCTGGTGAGGGGTGAACCTCAGAGAGGGTCTCAGAGCCCAGGTGGACCGGTACGGGCAGTAAAACAGCACCAGCAGGGCGAGTGAGTACTGGGGAAGGGAGTGGAGATTCAATGTGGGGATGAGAGGGGGCGGCAGGAGGATCTTGGCATCTGGGCTCCAGGGGAAAAGGCTTGGGAGAGCCCAGAATACCTTCTCAGCCACGGAGGCTGCTTGTGCCAGAGCTTTGGGTTCTTGAGACCTGGGGCCGGGGTGCGGAGGCCCCCAGGGGCAGGGCTGCCGTGGCCACGGGCCCAGGGGATCCCGCAGGAGTGCGTGGGCTCTACAGGCCTGCTGCAGCATGACAAGAGGGCTTCTGTCCCTGGGATGAGCTGGTGTGCACGTCAGAACACACACGTCTGCACTCCATGTGTGCGTGCATGTGTGCGTGTGTGCAAGTGCACACCCTTAGCACATGGAGAATACTGGCTTTGTCTAAGAGTGCAGACAATGTGTGCCTGACTGGAGTGACCTGCGATCCCTGACAGGCTGGCCTGGGGCCCCCAAGCTCAGGGCACTAATCCTGAAAGATCCAGTGTTGGGGAAGATGTGACAGAATGGCCAAGTGGCACCATGATGATTCCATGCATGCTGGCTCTTCCTGCTGGGGCCTGGAGTAGAGCTGGGGGCTAGGCCAGCCCAGACCCTCCCCTGGAACCCCGGGAACTTTCCTTGCTGTGATGGTGGCCGCTGAGGTCAAAGAGCTGGCTAGTCCACAGCAGAGAGGTGGGGCAGGAGCTTCCCACCGGCCGATGCCCAACTTCCTAGGCAGGAGCCATGCCTTGGCCGGTGGAGCCCAGCCCCACCTCAGGCCCCCTATCCAGCTCTGAGACCCCTGCCCACCCCCGACCCAGCCCAGGACACTAACCAAGTTCCTCTTAGGTGCTTACAGGAATCCCAGGAAAGGGAGGGTATGGGGCCAGGAGAAGGGGCTGGAGAGCCCCCATGGGCAGAGATGTGGGCCTTGGGGGTGCTGTTTTGGGCAGCACAGCTGTGGGATGAAGCCGGATCTGGAGTGGGGTGGGGGTGGTCTGGCAGGGAGCGCATCGGCAGGGAGGAAGGTCAATCACACGCTGGGGGAGGCTGCCCAAACCGCGGGAAACTTGCTCATCCGGGGCTGATGTCCCTCACAGACTGAACGCCTGCACTTGCTCAGCCTCCCTCACCCCACGCTCCTTCTCAGCTCACTGTGTATCCTTCTCCGGGTCATCTGTTCCCTTGCAATCCCTATGTCCACAGAATAAGTCGATGGTATTCCATGGGTAGAGGTAGACTATGGGCTTTATATCTTCGGACCAGAGCCCCATGATCAACTTTATGTGCTATGTGCAGGTTCTCATAAAACTGAGAGAGTCCCATAACAAACCACTAGCCATGGAATATTAGAATATATCCCATGGTGACTAGTATTGTTCATGCCCCCCTCCCCCTCCCCCCTCCCACTGAAGTCACGGGGAAGTGGTTGGACTGGTTGGGGTGTCATGTATTGCTGCTGCAGTCCCTACCGTCGGAAGTGGGGAGGACCCTCGGTGGGTGGTGGTTGCTGGTCTGTAGCTCTTTCCTCTAAGCTGCCGGGGGTGGTGGCCCCGCCCCTAGTCCTTTGCTCACCAGCCGCTTCCATCAGATCGCCATCGGAAACTCCCACTCAACCATCAACCCAAACAGACAACGTGAAAGCTAGAGTCACTCCAACAGGTTCTAAAGATAAATGCTAAACTCTAGAGTGGTGGTAGAAGATGAGTTGGTTCGGCATGCTATGGGGGAAGTAAGCTTGTTACGGAGGGCTAGAAGCGTCTCCTACGACGCACCTGGAGCTAGGCAGCCGGAATCAGAGCACGAAATCTACTCAGCTATGGAGACAGGCTCTGCTGGGGGTGAGAATCCTTGCCACTGCCTTTGCAGGGACCCTCCTGCCAGATCCCATGCAGCATGTGTGCCGTCTGTACGGCCTGAAGGGGGCCGTGTAAAGACCAAATCAGAAGCGGTCTGCCGTTTCCAAATCACACCCACCCCCGCCCGGCCCGGACACCAGGTCAGTGGCCTGAGTCAGAGACTCACGCTGGACTCCCGCCCACCGAACTTCAGCTCCCCGGGCTCCTGCTAAGAGAGTCCTCAGCAACCTCGAGGGCCTTGTCATCTCTTCAGAACCTCGTGAGACCAGCACGTCAACCGCCTTACCCAGAGCCACCAGTGAGGTTCCTCTAGTGGGCTCTCGCCTGGTGAATTTGGCTGCCCAGCATCTCTCCCTGGGCCCCCAGGCTCCGCGCCTCAAGACTGAGTGCGGGTTCCGGGGTCACCCACGGAACTAAGGAAGCAGTCCGACTGAATCTGGAATCATCGCTACAAGGGGCAAAGGTGAAAGGTCAGATCGACATGCCTCTAAGAGGTTTCCTACCTGCTCTGTTAATTTCTAAAATCTCTTCCTGGGCCAGCGGGCATGTGTCACTCTGAGTACTGTGGTGTGGAGAGTTTACGACAGATTTACAATAATTGGGAGATCCCAGCTGCGGCGGCCGTGGAATATGCTTCTTTTTTTTCTTTGGTAGTTTCTGCTTAGCCATGGCTAAGGAGTAATACATCCCAAAATTGTTCACGATGACGGGCACGGGCATGGCGATGGTCAGCACCCCAGCCAGCGCACACAGCGCTCCCACCAGCATCCCGGACCACGTCTGCGGGTACATGTCTCCGTAGCCCAGTGTTGTCATGGTGACCACGGCCCACCAGAAGCCAATGGGGATGTTCTTAAAGTGGGTGTGCTCACTGGCACTGGGGTCATTGGGCTGTGCCCCTATCCTCTCGGCGTAGTAGATCATGGTGGCGAAGATCAGGACGCCCAGGGCCAGGAAGATGATCAGCAGTAAGAACTCGTTGGTGCTGGCGCGGAGGGTGTGGCCCAGGACGCGCAGGCCCACGAAGTGGCGAGTCAGCTTGAAGATGCGCAGGATGCGCACGAAGCGGACGACACGCAGGAAGCCCAGGACGTCCTTGGCCGCCTTAGAGGACAGGCCGCTCAGGCCCACCTCCAGGTAGAAGGGGAGGATGGCCACAAAGTCAATGATGTTGAGCGAGTTCTTGATGAACTCGACCTTGTTGGGGCAGAAGACGACACGCATGAGGAACTCGAAGGTGAACCAGACCACGCAGACGCCCTCGATGTAGGTGAGGAAGGCCTCCGTCTCCGCTTCCCGGTAGTAGCGCACCTGCGTGCCATTCCGGACGTTCTCGATCTCCGTCTTGTTCACGATGGGGTTGAAGCGCTCGTGGGTCTCCAGGCAGAAGGTGGTGATGGAGACCAGGATGAAGAAGAGGGAGGCAAAGGCCACATACTGCGGGGCAGAAACACAGAGTGTCAGAGGGATGGCCCTCCCACCCAGAGCCGAGAAACCTGGGGTGTCCTTGTGTTGGGTACAGTCAGAGGCCAGGCCAGGGGAAGACGTAGTGACCCCTCCTCCAACACTGGAGGAGCTGACAGGCCACCGTTCCCTCTGCAGGGCACAGGGTAAGGAAGCTCGAGGAGTTGAAAGGGTTGTGGCATGGATTGCTTTGTTTTCTCGAACATGGTTACATTCTTCCTGGATGTGCAGCTAGACTACATTTCCCAGCCTCCCTTGCGCGAGGTGGGGTCACGTGACTGAAAGGGGCGAAAGGGGCCGGGTCTCCCAAAACCTTGGTGCTCTGGCTTCTAAGCTCTTTCTTCCCCCGCTGTCAGGCAAATGCTGAAGCCTCGGGGCGGGGCGGGGGTCCACAGAACTACCCGAAAAGAAGAGCCTGCGACCCTGAAAAGAAAGACCATTAAATACCCTCCTTGAGCTACTGCTTGAGTGGGAAAGACGTCCATTATGTTAAGTTTCTGTGGTTTGGGAGGCGGTATTGGTTAAAGCATTTAGCCACCCAGACTAATGAAAGTGACCTAGCTTGCTGGGGCTGAAGTTGGCAAAGAAACGAGAGGGGGCAGCTATGGTGGAATCAAGCCGCATCTCTCCTCTTCTTTCCTTCCTACTCCAGCTTATTCGCTCTTGTTTTTATGAAGCTGTACCTCACTCACGGATACTCTTTCAGGTTCTGTACTATCTAAACCTAAAGAGGACGTTTATCTGCCTCAGAGTCGTAGATGACTTTTTTTTTTAATTTGTTTTCTCTATCCTCCTAGGAACCCACATATCCAGTCTAGATGGGAGTTCCCCAACCTTGGGGATATTCAAGTAGAGATACTGTGTTGCTGGTTCAGGCACCAGCTGGAGAATTGGACCAGATACTCTCAAAAGCACCATAAACCATGGGGTCTGCCTTTCTCCTCCCGCTGCCTGCCAGCCCTAGGACAGAGGTGTGGGTGGGAGGCAGAAGAAGCTGTTGCAGTTCTGGGGCTTTCCAAACATACGTGGGCACCTGCTTCTCTCAGACCCCATCAGTGAGAAGGAAATAACCCAGAATAGCCCAGCCTGTCCAGAACCACCAGCTCTGGCCCTGAGACCCCAGGAAAAGGTTCAGGAGACCCTTAGATTTGGTTTGGTGGCCCCATATGATGACCCCTTGGGCTTCTCGAGCCCCTAGCACACACAGAAACCCAAAGAAGAAGAATCGAGAAGCTGTCTGAGTTTCAAACCCTCCTGCTCAGACTGAATTGCAGGCAAGGTCTCTTCTTACAGCCTCGAGTTGGGTCCCCGGAACTCTAACATGCCATGGCCTCCTCCAGCACCGCCCTGTGCTAATGGAACCTGGTTAATCAGCTCTCCTCCAGCGGCCCACCTGGTCATACTTGCCTGCATGTTCCTGCTGCTCCCTTTCCCTCTGGACCCTCTTTCTCTCAGCTTGGCCAAGACACACCATGGCCAGAACAGGGCCATCTTCCTGGAGGCAGCCCTGGGGTACAGTTTGGAATAGGTGGCACCTTTAGTGTACAGAGCTGCTGTCACAGATGACTTCAAGGAGTGCCACAGTCTCACCCTGTATCTTCAGCAGGAGGCAGCCGGGCCACTTCTAACCATTTCTTTAGTTTGCGTCAACGCCCTTCCCCACCTCTTGGGTTGAGGGGGTGCAGCATTGAAAGTCCCAGAATAGCCCTGTCTGGGTTGACCGTGGCCATGGGACCTGGAAACCAAGAACTCTGTGGACCTTCCAAGTCATGTTCTGGGTTGAGGGAAGGGCAGAGGTAAGGGGAAGGGACAAAATTGGCATTTCAGAATGTCAACATAAGAGCAGCTTCTAGGGATCATCAGGTCTAAGACAATGGGCTACACATTACGGAAGCCTGAGGACCAGAAGCGGGAAGAGAACTGCCCAAGGCAACCACTATGGTATGCCGATAGTCCTGCAGGCTGGCGATTCACAACAATGTTATTCTACACTGACAGTCATGATCCCTATGCGTCCTTCCTTCCATCCACCTTTCTTTTATCCATCCATCATCCATCTACCCATCATCCATCCATCCTTCCTTCTATCCTCTCTAGCCTCCCTTTCACCCACACATCTATTCGTCCTTTCCCCCTCCCTCTACTCGTCTCCTCTCTGTTCCTCCTTCCCTCCCTCGCTTCCATCCAACATGCATGCATCCATTCTTTCCCTCCCGCCTCTCCTCTTTTTCCTTCCTCCTCCCCTTCCCTTCCTTCCTTCCTTCCATCCTTTCTTCCTTTCCTTCCTCATTAAGCACCAGGCTATGCCTAGCACAGAGGGGATAAGGCCTCAGCCCAGTCCTCAGGGAGCTCCTCGCCCAGCTGAGGGTAAAGGACACACAGAGAGATGAGTACAGTGCAGTGGACTGAAAAGGTGACGTCCACAGCCCTGAAGTGGGTGAGGTTTGGGTCAGGTGGGGCAGGGTAGGGACCTAAACCAGGTCTTTCAACTCCAGAAACAGCTCTCTAAGGGTCCAGACAGTGCCAGCCTGGGTCACCCCAGAGGTAGACCAGGAAAGCAAAGTGGACTGAAGGGGCTACCACTTGTGACCAAAGTTTATCTGGCACTTCCCATTACCAGAGCTGCCAGAGCTCTTGGAGCTGAAAGATCCCTGTCCCCTGGGTATTTGTCCCCAGATTCCCTCTGGAGAGCCCCATCTTGGAGGTTGGCATTCACAGCCCACACTCCCCACAGGCAGGTCATGCCCCCAGCCATACCCCCTTCCCTGGCCTTTGTGACAGGGAGCCAAGAGCAGGGCCATTGCACCCCTGGGCTCTCGACTCTGCACAATGGGAGAAAGCAAGAGGCACATCTCCTCCTTGCTGCCCCATCGGCCACAGATGGTATCACCCTCCTAATCTGTCCCATGTCTATCCTCGGTCCCCTTTGCTTGTACTGACTCTCCCAACAGGGCTACGGCCATCAAAGCTAACAAATTTTAGGCTTCAGTCTTGGCCACCAGTCTAGCCTCCACACCCGAGGGAGCAGCCGGCTGGAGTCCCAGCTCTGCATGCCACCTGACCGTGCCCCCCAGAGGAAAGCCCACACTGCTCAGCCTGGCAGTCTCTGTGCCTGACCTCACTGACTTCTTTACGTGAGCCCAACATTCTTGCCACATGCAACTCTCTGCCATTTCTGACCCCCCACCTCCATGTCCCGTCTTCATACCCGTTGATCCTTCCGTCAGAGAGTGTTCCTGCCACTCTTTCTCTGGAAAAGCACAGCATCCTTCAGCACACCACTAAGTAGCCCTTCTTCTGGGACATGTTCTCCAGGTGAGGCTCCTCTTGGCAGCAATGAAGCCCCCCCCCTCCAGAAGCCTCTAAATTCACCCCTGGGAGACAGCAAGCCTGCCTCCAATGCTAGCTCATCAGTGCTTAGGGGAGGTTCATAGGAACAACCCAGACAGGGTACTGATGTCCCAGGAGCCTTCTGGGACATCAGTACCAGAAGGTACTGATGTCTGGGAAAGCTCCCTGGTGGCCCCACAGGACCCGAGAGCTTTCATCCCATGTGCACCTCTCACAGGACAGGCCTTGATGGGGGAAATGAGGCCCAGAAAGAGGCCAGGTCTTATAGAAATTAGGGTAGAAAAAACTCCTTAGTTCTCAGCTATCAGTGGGGATCCTGTCTAGATTCTTTCTTCTCTGGGCCCCAGAGCCAAAGGAGTGGGGATGGGGGGGTGGACAGCAGCAGCCAGGCCCCAAGCCAGACACTTGGACTTCTTCCCCAGGGAAGCCAGGAGAGGGGGAAGCCAGGCCTCCTACCCTGTCCAGCTTTTGGCTGCTTTCTTTCTGACCTTTGCTGCCCGCAGCCTGGTCCTTTGTCACAGGCAGAGCCCCAGCAACACCTGGGTCCAAGTGGGCCCTCGGGAGGACTGTGGAGAAAGGTATCCCTGGCTTGCTCAGACTGCCACATTCTCCCAAGCCTAGAGGCTAGCAGGTCAGCCACAGCACACAGCCAAAGCAAGAGCTCACATCCAGCTGAGTCTGAGGCTCCCTTCTGTCTGGCCTCAGGGCATCTGGGCACAGGAAGGAGAGAACAGGAAGCTACTCAAGCTAAGGACCCATTCTGTACCATTAATCCTCATACCACCTCGTCAGACAGGTGGTTGTAACCCCACTGTGCCAAAAAACCCAGGTACAGACAGGTTCAAGGACTAAACCAAGGGTTGAAAGCTAGTGATGAAGCAGAGGCTTGGACCTAAATCTGTCTAGCTCTAGAGCCAAAGCTCTTTCCACCGCTGGAGAGGCCATAGCACTTGGGGCTAGCAACACAGCTCTGAGCATTGGGGGACTGCCCCTGATCATGTCTGAATGGTTCATCTTGGAGCTGGACACCTTTAGCCCAGACCACCTGAGAGTAGGCTACGCCCGTACCCAGTGAAGGAGAGAGCCAGGATGCCTGGATCCACTGGCCGGAGCCCAGCCAATGCCTAAATGAGCCAATGCCCCTTGGCCCAGGACCTGGTAGTGCCTGGGGCCACAGCAGCCCAGGGGTGTGGCCACAGCACTCAGGGAGTCAATGCTGATGGCAGCTTTGGATGGTCCAGCCTGCCTCCCCACCTGGCCCACTTCCTCGAATGCCCAGAGAGGGCAGGGTTGGAAGATGATCTCAACTTGTTCAAGAAGCTCAGCAGAAGAAAGTGGGGGACTTGTGTGGGGAGGGGAGGACCAGGGGTCAGCTGGACACTGGCAGGGAGGGCATCCCTGCTGCAGGCAAGGGCAGGGGCTGCGCCCCATGGGAGCTGCCTGCCTCCCAATCCCCAGTCACCAGAGGACACGGAACAGTCACTCAGAGACCGCAGACACACAGCTGCCCAGAGTACACACCTCACCCATTACCTAAGCACATACATTGTGCATGCATGTGGCCACACGAACTACAGCATGGTGTCCCGACCACACACACACACATTGAGAACACAGGGGCC